TGTTTATTTTAGAGAGACTGAGAGGGAGGGACAGAGAGAGAGAGAGAGAGAGAGAATGCATGTGCATGCATATATGGGGGAGGGGCAGGGAGAGGGAGAGACACAGACTCTGAGGCAGGCTCCAGGCTTTGAGCTGTCAGCGCAGAGCCTGATGCAGGGCTCAAACCCATGAACTTTGAGATTATGACCTGAGTCGAAGTTGGACACTTAACTGACTGAGCCATCCAGCTACCCCAGAACTCTTTGTTTAAAATAACAATTTCAAGTTATTTAGTTGTCATAAAAACTAATAATTAACAATTTCATTTCCTCATGTACTTCTTTGTGAATGTAAGACTTTACCATAGTCTTCACCTCATTTTTATGGATATTTTAAAGGCATATTTTACAAAGGGTATCGTTTGAAAGATATTTTAGTGAAAGCAGACATTTTATTTTTTTTTAATGTTTATGTATTTATTTTGAGAGAGAGAGAGAGAGAGAGAGAGAGAGAGAGAGAATGAGCAGGGGAGGGGCAGAGAGAGAAGAAGAGAGAATACCAAGAAAGCTCCACACTGTCAGAGCAGAGCCCTACAAGGGGCTCGATCTCATGAACCATAAGATCATGACCTGAGCTAAAATCAAGAGTCAGGTGCTTGACCAACTGAGCTACCCAGGTGTTCTGAAAGGAAACATTTTAAACTTGTATTAGTAACTGTACATCCTTACTTAAGAATTGACATAAAGGAATTGATCAGAACTGCTTACAGTCCTTTGACAATGTACACGGATTTGTCATAATTAAGAGCCCTCACAAGAAAAGTTCTCACCTAATTTCATTTGTCTTTTGCTTTTGGCATAAGGTATCATTAAAGATCTCAAGTTAAGGGCCCCTGAGTTGCTTAGTTCATTAAGCCTCCATCTCTTGGGCTCGGCTCAGGTTATAGTCTCGTGGTTTGTGAGTTTGAGCCCCAGGTTGGGTTCTGAGCTGACTTTGTGGAACCTGCTTGGGATTCTGTCTCTCTTTCTGCCCCTCCCCCTCTGATGCTCATGCGTGCTCACATACACACACACACACACACACACACACACACACACACACCCACACTCTAACAAAAATAAATACATATTTTAAAAAAAGATGTCCAGTTAAGTAAGACATTTCTGGTGTGTATTATCTACGTATACCTAACAGATTTTAACTAAGGAAATGTGAATTTTATTTATTTGTTACTAGGTCTTACAGCCTTGTTCTTTATTTATGGAAAAATGTATGTGGGCTTCAGGAAAACAAAATATAAGCATTATGGTTGAAGAATTTATAATTAAGGTCAGTGCCTATCATATTATTTGGGTAAAAATTCTTGTTTCTAGCAAAATCTTTTGATGTCTCTTCTAACTAGAACATTATGCTACTTACATTACATATTCAAACAGTAAATACTGCTAATATTAAAAGACATTTTTCTTTAAAGCAAATTTTTTTCTATCTTTTTATAACGAGAGTACTTTTAAATATCTATAAATGATTGAGATAGTTTTTATCCATTATGTTTGCTTTTTGTGTGTTGGGGAGATTGGGTTTGGGGGACAGCAGAGATGGGATGGGAAGAGAAGAAAGTTGGGATGGAAAAGTGAAGTTGCCTTTATTTGTAGTAAGTTATTTTAGGCTTTTATTCAGGTATAATGTGAATTTAATAATTAAATAATTAAATGTTTTATCTGGCTTTTAAATTTTTGTAATGACAGATGTATGCTAGAAATAAGGTATTAGGATTTGCTTTTTATTAATCTCTTATATTTGAAGTATTGGAAAAACAATCTCTGTTCTCCCATAGCATTTGTATTGTTTAAGTATGACCTCATAATTGGTTATAAATGAAAGGCAGAGAATAATACTTCCCCAAATCTCTTTTTCTGTCTGTCCAAAGGACGCAATATTGAGGTGGTTGATAGCAGTTTTACTGTACCATAACCGATAGTGATTAAACCAAGGCTCAAACTAATGTCATTTGAGTTACCATATAAATAACAGTGCAATTTTCTCTCAATATTTTAAAATGCTCAGTAGTTTTAGATTGAATTTTGTTAACATATTTACTTTTTGAAGAACTTAAGGTGGTCATTCAGGGGGAAAGGTCTTGAATTTGCATGCACTTAGTCTAAGACAATAGGTTAAACGGTACTGGGAATATTGTCTTTCCCTTTCTTTGTATACCAGTTTATTTGTTTATTCATTCAGCAAGCATTGTTTGAGCTCTTACTTTGTGTACGAAAAATGTCTATACAAGGCATTGGTGATACATAGTCCATATCTTCAAAGAACTTACTGATATATGTGAGAGAAAGAAGTAAATCAATGATTCTGGCTTTCAGAGCTGGAGGCCTGTACTGGTGCTTTTGGGAGCACAAGTAAGGGTCCTGTGATCAGACCACGACATCAGGGAAATCTGCCTTGAAGTGAGGCTACTTGAACTGAGTTTTGAAAATCTGATGGATGGGGCGCCTGGGTGGCGCAGTCGGTTAAGCGTCCGACTTCAGCCAGGTCACGATCTCACGGTCCGTGGGTTCGAGCCCCGCGTCAGGCTCTGGGCTGATGGCTCGGAGCCTGTTTCTGATTCTGTGTCTCCCTCTCTCTCTGCCCCTCCCCTGTTCATGCTCTGTCTCTGTCTGTCCCATAAATAAATAAAAACGTTGAAAAAAAAATTAAAAAAAAAAAAAAAAAAAAAAAAAAAAAAGAAAATCTGATGGAGGTTAGAAGCAGAGGGAGGCTGAGGGTTATCAAGACAGAACTGACAATATGCACAAAAGTAGAGGTATGAAAAACCTTTTAAGGACTTAGAGTGGTGATTCCATGTGGTTGGAGAGAATGGTGCGGTGGAGTTGTAAGATTGAGAGCTCTAATTAAAGGTGACATTAATAAGGCAAGGACGAAGAAGGGACTTAGTGGACAGGTAAGTTTGGGAAGAGGCTCATACTACTTCCTTCTTTGGGTGATGTAATCATATCATTTTAGCAAATTACATAAGTAGAGGTTGTGAGAACTGAACAGTAAAGGAACCCACTTATTTAACCCAGTATTGCTTACACTTTGTGAAAACCCTGGTATCACATCACAAAGACTTTTGTGTCCTCAGCTAAAGAGAAATTTGAACTGCATCCTTAAAGTTAGGGGCAATTGAAGATTTTAGGCATAGGAATGGCCTGCCCAGATTTGAGTTTGAGGAAAAGAATGCTGGTGGAAATGTGGAGGGTAGACTCTGAGGGTCCAGTCAGCACTGGACATAGTAGGCATTATCAGTGTAGAACTAAGGTGCAAGGCTAGGAATGAGGAGGTGAGCAAAGATACTATACAAAGATAATAAGAGGTAGAGTTTGGAGAACTTAGGGGAGGTGGAAGGGGATCCATGGTGATTCTTAGGCTTTTTGTTTCAGTCAGAAAAATAAAAACTATGTATGTATATTTTGATGAGGATCATATACTTTGGTTTAGTTAATGCAACTGGTTGAAAAATAAAAAATTCAGTTATACTACATTTTTCTTTTCATATAACCCTATTTTATTATAAATTGGTCAATTTAACTTTAGGTTTTGACATTAACATATAATATTAATTACTTAATTCCAATGTAGCCTGGGCAGAAATCATGGGTATGATGTTAGTTGACTTGACATATGGCTTTGTGTATTCTCTTTTGTTTTTCTTAGGTATTAATGTAATATGTTTAAATTTTTAACTTTTTTTAATGTTTTGTGTTATATATTCTTCTCATTTAGAAATAATTTATTCTTAAAATTTTTCTGCTTTCTTTTTTAAAGATTTCACCCATAATTCTGAATACTGTGATGACGATCATGGCTGCTTTGTCTCCAAAGACAAAAGAAGATGAATCCAAAGATATATCTAAGGAAACAGAAAATCTTTGGGGCATCAAATCTATTAGTGATTATAACTCTTGGTTTCTTGGTGTTGACATGGCAACAGAAATAACAGAAAATTTCAAAGACATTCACTGTCTATCTATAGAGGAAAATTGTGCTGTTGTTGTAGAGTCAGTTCAGGTTACCTTAGAATGTGGCCTTGGGCATCGAACTGTACCTTTATTACTGGCAGAGTCTAAGTTTTCAGGAAATATTAAAAATTGGACTTCCCTAATGGCTGCAACTGCTGACATGACATTAGAGGTATGACTACATCATTTAATACTTCCAGAGCCAACTTCTCAAAATTACACCTGCAGAATTAAGATGTGCACTTTTCTTGTTTGTGCATGGCCACAGCAAGTGTGTGTGTTTGTGTGTGTGTGTGTGTGTGTGTGTGTGTGTGTGTGTGTGTCTGAATAGATAATATATTCTAACATTTAACTTGTTGATGCATAATGTAGTATTATTTAGTTGGTTACTGTTTTTTAAAGACTTTTTGTTAAGTAATTTATTTATGGCAGTAAAGTAAGAGAGTAAAGGAAAATGTACCCTCTTTATAGCTATTCTTTGTGTCTTGAGGTATGTTGTTAAAATGATTGGCATATAACATTAATTGTGTAATATTTTTCCTAATGATTATAGAAATATGTTGTTAAAGTTGAAAGACTCTGTTATTATAATTCTGTGCCTTTCCAGGTTCACTACTATAATGAAACCCATGCTGTTTGGGAGCCACTGATTGAGAGAGTGGAGGGGAAGAGACAATGGAATTTAAGGCTTGATGTAAGGAAACCATACGATATCTTTATATTGATGGCACTCAGCACATTCATTTATATTTTTTAGTTCAGTGATTCTCAAGATTTGTAATCTAGGATTCTGGAGGCCCTTTTAGGGGGTTTGTGGGGTCAGAACTATTTTCATAATAATAGACATTATATATCATTTTTATTCTCATTCTCTTGTGAGCATACAATGGAATTTTCCAGAGACTGTGATATTTCATCAGAATGAATACTGAAGCAGAAATGAGAATCCACTCGTCTTAAGGCAGTCACTAGAGAGATTTGCAAATGCCCCTCTTTTTACTATTAAAGATAACTTTAATAGTTATATTTCATTAAAATATTATTCAACATATAATTGTTTTTAAATGAATATTTAAAATTTTCTTAGTTTGGGTTTCTAATAGATTTCATAGTCATAGATCTGATCCATATAAATGAAGCTCTTTGAGATCATCAGTGATTTTAGGAGACCAAAACATTTGAGAAAACTTGAATTATAGTTCATGAATTCTTTGTGTGTTATCTCTTGATGGTATTTCTTGAGAGCACTTCAGAATCCTGGATACCAAAGCACATTTTTCTTGACTAAAAGGAACATGAATTATATACCCCTAACAAGTGACTACACTACAGTTCTCTGGTGTAGCCTGAAGTGTGAGGCACTGAAATTGACTCAGCAGATTCCTATTTTAAAACTGTGAAGCCACTTAACCTGTGTCCCAATTTCTTCTCAGTAAAGTAGAAGTAATATTTCTGATCTACCTGTCTCTGGCATAGACAGGCTAACAAATAGTTTTGTATATGGCCTTTGAGCTCTATTAGAACAAAAACTGTGGTGGAATCTGATGGCTGGTGAAAGCCTATCGTATTATGTGTAGGTGTTAACAGAATTCCACATTACCTCCAGTGAGGATCGGTTTAGACTTGAGGGTCATCTTCCATTACGCGTCAACACATAAGGACCAATTAGTCAGGCGACACTGGGTAAATAGCTTCCTCTGGGGAATGCACAAGAAACAAATACTGTAACTGACCTGGAGCGCTTTTGTGACACAGTTCGAGACATTACCCCGTGCACTGACCACACACTGCAAAAAAGACTGCTGATCTGTGCTGTGTCTAAGCGAAGCACTGGTTGTTTTTGAAACTGAGACTTTTGACTAGCCTTAATGTGAAGCGACCAGTTTAGGAGAGTTTAACACTTGGAGAGTTTTAAATTTTTGTTATTAAATGGCTAATAACTTAAATGTGTCACATTATTTATCCTCCTAGGTAAAGAAGAATCCAGTCCAAGATAAAAGTTTAATTCCAGGAGATGATTTTATTTTTCTTCCTGAGCCACAAACAGCAGTTCATATTTCTTCGGGAGACACAATGAATATAACCATATCCAAAAGTTGCCTGAATGTTTTCAACAATTTAGCCAAAGTATGTTTGGTTTTTTCTTGGAATATTTCAAATGGGATTTTAAAATGAAACATGTATGGATTATTTATGTTTGTCATCACAATTACTTTCTTAAAAATGTTTAATTTTGGAAAAAAATTGAATGTTGCAAAAATTTTATTGCGATGTTATGTTCCTTTTCAGGGTTTTTCAGAGGGCACTGCTTCTACTTTTGACTACTCTTTAAAAGATAGGGCTCCTTTTACAGTGAAAAATGCTGTAGGCATTCCCATTAAGGTGCAGCCCAATCATAATCTCAGAGTAATAGGCTCCCTTGAGAAAAGTGGTGTTTATGATGTTGATGCTGGTCAGCATTTGGAATTGGAATATGCCAGCATGGAACCTTCACGTCAAGGAAAATTATCTATGTTGAGCCGTCAGGAAAGCTCTTTCTTCACTCTCACCTTTGGTATGCTATATTTATTTTATATTCATCTTTGGAATTGTAGCTGTGTGGCTTATTTCTGTTAAAATGTAAAGATATTGCTGCAGATACCTTGGGAGACAATATTTCTAAAGGCTTGAAACAAATAGTTGATAAGCTCTTATTTTCTTCCTCTAAACTTGAGACAATTAAATTTTAGAATTACCTTAGAAAATTAGATTATTTCTGTGCCCTTAAATAATGCCGTCTGTAGCATGCTTCAAAAAGGATGTGAGTCCATTGAGGAGAGGAAAATGAACTATATTCAGAAGTCATAAAATGTTGACAGTAATTATCACCATTACACAGAAAAGGTGATTATTGCTCTATAGTTGAAAGAATAAGGAACAAGCTGAAATTTGTGTGATTTAAGAAATTTTAATGTTTATGTAGATTCCAAGTTAACATACAGTGTGATATTAGTTCCAGGCATGCAATATAGTGATTCAGTACTTCCATATAGCACCTGCTGTTCATCACAAATGGCCTCCTTACTCCCCATCACCTATTTCACCCATCCCCCCACCCACCTCCCTTCTGGTAACCATCAGTTTGTTCTCCATAGGTAAGGGTCTGTTTCTTGATTTAAAACCTGAAGAGAAATTGTTTTGAGTCAAAACGTTTTATAACTAGTTTCCTTTCTTTTTTAAATTTTATTCTTTTTTTTAGTTTCTTTAGTTTCCTTTCTTTGTTGGTTGCTACGTCTCAGAAAAGCATTTTGAGTAGTTGTCATGTTCAGCCTTGAAGAATTCCCTTGTATTATTTTAAGGTGCTGATGAGTACTCTGTCTGAGAGAAATATAGGTAAATTGGTATTTGGAATGCTTCTCACTTATGCTCTGCCTTAGTACCTCATGGATATACAGAAGTTGCAAAAGTCCCTGTTGCCAGATCCGGACGGCGATTGTATAATGTACGGAATCCCAATGCCAGTCATTCTGACTCAGTCTTGGTACAGATTGATGCAACTGAAGGGAATAAAGTAATCACTCTTCGTTCTCCTTTGCAGGTAATCCATTAAAGTGAATTGTGTCCCTCGAAGTATAACAAGAAATCTTCAATCATTTTGGTGAATATAGGAATATGATAAAACATTGAGCTAATACTGAGTATTCAGAAATACGTAATAGATTGAATTGGCTGCTATTTCCAATCTAACTTGTTTTTGTTCTAGTCTTCATTTTAAATGTCCGATTAAACAATTTTGTTATTTGAAAGCCCATTTTTGTTGTGGTCTAGGTTGAAAATTAAGGAAGATTTTCACCTCTTTCTTTAAAGATTTAGAACTGGGAGTGTTAATAATTATAAGTGGTTGCCAAATAAGATAACATTCCATTCTCTTTGTATATCACTTGGGATTGTATGTTTCAAGTATATCTGAAGGAATACTGGAATGATCTCCCCAGAAAAAGATTTTAGCATCTTAATCTTTTCTATGTTTAAGGCTTTATCCATTTTTCTTTTCCTGTGCATTATTACAGGTTTCATTATGTGGTCATCAAAAGAACATTTCTTCCTACTTAGAACATCAGATAAAAAAATTAAAGGATTTCAACTTTTGGCCATTGTTCTCTCTCAGTTTGCTGTTAGCTCTAGCCTATATCACATTGTAGTCCAGGAAAGAGAGTTGTAGTGTTTTTCCTTATATTTCCCTTGCTATCCTTTTCTGTTTTCACATGGTGCATTGAAAAGAGGTTATAATGGGGAAAATATTATGGCTGAACTCCAAAGAGTAATACATATTATACACAACAGTGAACATCAGTGTAGAACGTGTGACTCTCTCAGAACTTTTCAACTGCCACTTAAACATCAAGTTTCTCATGTAAAGCACTTAAATATCCTAAAATTTTTCAATTATCCATAAAATATCTTCTAACACTGGGCTTGAAACTTTTAGATCTAAAAGTAACTGTGTGCAGCTCACATTTTTCTTTTGGCCATGTGTTATCTTTTTAAACAACTTGTATGTCTTTTTTATCCAACAGATTAAAAATCATTTCTCTATTGCATTCATCATTTATAAATCTGTTAAGAACGTTAAGCTGCTGGAGCCCATTGGAGTAGCCAGCCCTGAAGAGGAGTTCCATGTTCCTTTAGATTCATACAGGTACCTATTTCCTTGAAACTAATGCTTGAAAACTAATACAAAGTTTTAAAAGGTTCATACTATATATTTTAAAATATGAATTGGGATCTATATTCCAGGAAAAAACCTTATATTTTTATTATCTAAAGATGTGTAAAAGCCAGTTTTAAGACATCTAGAGAAATACATTTATGTAATCATTGATTTACCAGATGAAAAATTTCTTACTGTATAGTTGATGTTTTAGCACTTTCTGAAATTTATTTTTACTAGGTTGCCTTTATAATTGAAATTACTATTTTTTTTTGACTTGTCATTGCTTACACAGCGTTTTGTTTTTGTTTTTGTTTTTGTTTTTTTCCCAGAAAGTTCCTCCCTGAGTTAGCTATGTGACTTTGGGTGGGTTTCTTACCTTTCGTAGTCTTGTTTTCCTCCTCTGTAAAAATAGGAATAAGTATTTACCTTGTAGAGTTACCAAGAAGATTTAATGAGATTCTTAAGTTCTTGATAAAAGCTTTTTTCCCCAACTCTGTTTCTTTTTTTTCTAGATGTCATTTATTTATTCAGCCAGCTGGTATCTTAGAGAATCGGTACAAAGAATCCACCACTTACATTTCTTGGAAGGAAGAACTTCACAGGAGCAGGGAAGTCAGATGCATGCTTCAGTGTCCGTCAGTAGAAGTCAACTTCTTACCTCTCATCGTCAATACAGTTGCTCTGCCTGATGAACTAAGCTATATATGTAGCCACGAGGAAGATTGGGATCCAGCTTACATTATCCATCTTTATCCTACCCTCACTTTGCGGAACCTTCTCCCATACTCTCTAAGATATTTACTTGAGGTATGTCTCTTGTATTTTGTTTGATCTTTATTATTGCAGAGTGAATTCTAGTTTTTTCACTATGTTTTTAGTTGAGGTAGTTTTACATAGCATAATTGTAATGCTTTAACAATATTAATAATAGCAAAAACTGATACAGCATTTAGTATATGGCATACACTATACCATGTGCTTTACCTGTATTAATACATGTAATCCTTGCAGTAACCTTCTGGTGTAGGTACTATTATTAGACCCATTTTACAGAGGAACAAACTGAGTCACATAAGAATTAAGTGACAGGCCCAAGATCCCACAGCTAATAAGTTGTAGAGCTCGGATTTGAACCGAGGTAATTTGGCTCCTTGCTCCCTTCCACTGAGCTCTGCTGCATCTGCTATGAAATAAGAACCATATTAATCTCTTCCATTAGCTGATGGATAGAAAAAAGCCAGTGAGGAAGCACTCATCTTACTTTATTCTAAAGTTAATTTTAAAGTTTTTATTGTAAAGTTAATAGTCTTATTCGATCCGGGTTTCTCTTGAACTTAATTAGCCTGATAAATAATGGGCAACATTTTTAGTAATGACATATGATAAATATTTTTAGATTCTACATTCCACAACATTTTAAAATACAAAAGTCTGGAAAGTGTTGGAGCTTAAATTATTTCTTTTCTTTATCTGACAATGAGCCACCCCTCAGTTTGTAAAGGCTAAAATGAATTAAATGAACTAAAAAGTATTTATGTAAAAGAAGCTTTCAAAAACGAAGCCTGATTTATTATGTGGCTATTAATCATTCTAAAAACAATTCCACATCCCTTAGATAGTTTGTCAGAAGTTTGCTCTCACTTTCCCTCTTTTATTTATTTGGGAACCACGAGGCATAGCATTTGAACAGAGGGTGAAGCTGAAGCCAGGTGGTTAAGTGGCTCATTAATGACACAGACAACAGCCAGCATTCCTGAATCCATCCTTGGATCCTAGGCCTAGATCTGACTTTATTTATTTCTTTATTTTTTCAAAATCTGTGGCCATTGACTTACTAATAGCCAAATGACAGTTTCTCCCTTTGGCTGTGATATAATATTTTTCTTTGTAGTCCTTAGTGGTTATTGAACATTCATAATATGTAAGCCTGGGACTCCACTGAAGTCTTGTCAGTTAATCTGAATGTGGTACGTTATTTATTAGCATTTGCATAAAATATGGATGTTGTTACCGCAGAGTTTTTAAAAAATCACTAAGCAAATTTAGTTTTTGTTTGTTTGTTTTTAGGGAACAGCAGAAACTCATGAGCTAGCAGAAGGCAGTGCTGCTGATGTTCTCCATTCGAGAATCAGTGGAGAAGTAATGGAATTAGTTCTGATGAAATACCAGGGCAGAAACTGGAACGGACATTTCCGTATATGTGATACGCTTCCCGAATTCTTCCTTGTGTGTTTTTCTCCTGACTCTGCAGAAATGATGACAGTTGACTTGTCAGTACATGTCAGACGAATTGGCAGCAGGATGGTGCTATCTGTTTTTAGTCCCTATTGGCTAATCAACAAGACTTCTCGGGTTCTCCAGTATCGTGCAGAAGATATTCACGTGAAACATCCAGCTGATTTCAGAGATATTATTTTATTCTCTTTCAAGAAGAAGAATATTTTTAGTAAAAATAAGGTGTGTTTTGGTTGATATAACAAGTTAAACTAGATAAATTCCTAGTTTGGAAATTTTTGAGTCATTAGCCTTCCCTCAATCCATGCTTACCAGTTTGCTAAGCACCATTGGTATGAATGAAGTCCAAGGAGACTTTCAAGGAATGCATAGTCAAATGGGATGTTAGGATTAGCAAGAGTTTCCCAAGGCTGAATCGCCCTTTTCTCCAGTGCCTTTAGAATTGCTTCTGTTCTGGGGCACCATGGTGGCTCGGTTAAGCATTTGAATTCGGCTCAGATCGTGATCTCACAGTTCGGGAGTTCAAGCCCTGTGTCGGGCTCTGTGCTGACAGCTCGGAACCTGGAGCCTGCTTCAGATTCTGTGTCTCCCTCTCTCTCTGCCCCTCCCCCCCACTTGTGCGCTTGCCCTCTCTCTCTCTCTCTCTCTCTCAAAAATAAATAAACATTGAAAAAAAATTACTTCTGTTATTTTAGTAGTGTCAGGTAGAAAGCTTGACTTTATGTGCTTTACCAGTAATGGCATTTCAAAAGGTGGAACAGTTGGATTTAGCTTATATGAACTGAGCCCTTCTATGTATGAAGCCCTAAAACCAAGCCTTTGAGAGAGAAACCTATTGCCTAAGCCTGGTCTTTTCTGCTCTGGTCCCTTCATTCCTTTGTAGACTCCTATCATGGAATTGCTTCTCACATATTATCCTAAGTGCTCACTGCTAGGCCTTTGTGTTACAGTTTCTGCCTAAAATGTCTCTTCCCCTATGCTTTTTCCTGCCTGCCACATCTTTTCTGGTTCCCTGCTGTTTATCTCTTGGCTGTCATTGAGCTCAGGCCTAACATGTGTGAAGGATTTCTAACAGTCTAAAGTAGAGCTAGATAGTACAACCTTGTTCTCTTAGAGCATTGGTTCTCAAATTTCAGAGCATGTTAGAATCACCTAGAGGGCTTTCTAAAATACATTTCTGGGTTGTGCCCCTGACGTTTGATTCAGTAGGTCTGGGTAGGGTCTGAACATTGCATTTATAACAGATTCCCAGGTGATGCTGACAGTGCTGGTCCAGGGACCACATTTCAAGAACCGTTGTCTTAAAGTGTTGATTAATCCATAGCATTTATTTACCTGTTTATGTGTCTTACCTGTGGTTGTCCTCAGGTTTTTTATAATCTCAATGGAGGAGAGCAGTTAGATCTCTTCTATAAAACTTTATCTAAATCTCATAGCCAGAAGTAAACTTTTTACCGTCTCACCTTGGTAGCATTTTGTACTAGTCCGGTAGCTCTTAATCTCATTCATTCTTGTATCATAATTATTAGTATGTGTTTCCCACCTCCCTGTTTAGTTGGAGCTCACTGAAGACAGGAACTGTGTCCTGATGTCTTCCATTCTGCTGACCATGATGCCTTTCATTTAGCATTTGATAAGTAATGTTAAAGGCATAAATTCTTTATGTTTTAAAACTTTTAAGAATTTGTTGGCTCATTATCTTAAGTCTAACACTGGAAAATATTATTTTATGTTAAGCTTTTCTTTTTAAACAACAGAGGGTCTCATTGGCATACATCTTTAAATTCACTAAACTCATTGCATAGATGAATGGGAAGATCAGAGCTCTGCATTTATTTTATTGGCCTCTAGAATATCTGTGGTTCTCTGACCCATTGGTAGTATGCCTTTGATTATTTTTTTCTGTGTCCTATGATACTAAATAAATTTCTAATAGAATAGTATCTTTCCCTCAAATAAAATTAATGTAGTGTTTTAGGTTTCTTATATGATGGTTATGTGTTCTCTGTTGTAGGTACAATTAAAAATTTCTACTAGCGCCTGGTCCAATGGTTTTTCATTGGATACAGTGGGAAGTTACGGATGTGTGAAGTGTCCTGCCAACAGTATGGAATACCTGGTAAGATTTTGCTTGCTTATTCACCCTTGACTTCGTTCACATTTTCTTCAGCTCCGTTAACCAGCTAGGTTCTAAGGGGTACAGAAATTTGAATTCAAAGTATTATGTACAGGACTGGTTATCTCTATAAATTTCTTTGGCTACTAGTATCAGGACAAGACCTACGTTTATCAAAGTTTAAGAAGTGAGTTGAATCCATCCACGTCAGCAACTTGTAAATATTCAGAGTATACAAGAATTCTCATTCCACACTACTCCCTGCCAGATGTTTCTTAAATCTTAGATTTGACTGAAAATTTGAGTAACCTGAGGTCAGTTGACGTGTTGTAATTGCCACTTTGAAACTTTTATCTCAATTTATTAACAGAGAGATGATAAAGCAGCAAAACTTGAGCCTCTACACTAATTATAAAACAGTTTATGTTTGGAATGTTAAAAAAATAAAGAATACAGCTAAACTAAATATGTTATAACAGTCATCATTAGTTAAATTACCGTTTGATATTTCTTGAATTGATTTCTGATGGAGCCAAACTAAGGAACCAAATATTTTTCTTAGTGAGAAGATAATCAGTAGTTGAATATGGCTTAGTAGTTACTTTATTTACAGGCGTTATTTTAAAATATCTTAAGAAATCTTTATGTGAATGGGGTGTGTGTATCATTTCAAAGAAGTTTGTTCCTTTACACAGGTTGGTGTTAGCATCAAAATGAGCAGTTTTAATCTTACACGAATAGTTACCCTGACTCCCTTTTGTACCATTGCAAACAAGTCATCATTAGAACTAGAAGTTGGTGAAATTGCGTCTGATGGCTCAATGCCAACTAATAAGTGGAACTATATTGCTTCTTCAGAGGTAAAGTTTTCCTTCACTATGACTGGCTTCTGAAATGTACAAATAGATATAGACAGATAAATAAGAATTGCATATACTTTTGTGTTACCCTCACTTTGCTACAGTATTTGTGTATTAAAACATGACAGCCAGCTTTGACTTTTTTTTTTTTCCATAAACACATGTTTAAAAAAAGAAGAAAAAATTTACTGGTAATATTTATCACTAGCCAGTCTAGAGGGTTGACACTCAGGCTGTAGTTCTTCCTGTATGTATAGAACATGGATGTGTACTGTGAAAAGTACATTAAGATGACGTACTATGAATTGTCTCAATAGTCAGGTTAGTGCCTCTGTGTTCAAGAAGTATATAATGCTGTTGGAGGGCTTAAGACTCATATAAATTCACATGTGGGAAAAAAGATGGTGTATGCTAAGTTATAGGTGGTTGTAGAATTTCTGTAAAATTTCAAGTTTCCTTGAAAATTCTGCTAAAATTCGACCCCCTCACTTTACCAAGAAGGAAGTTAAAATCTCATACTTTTCTAAGATTGGTGAAGTCTTTGGAAGTCACGATCATTGTGGCCAAGAGCAAAAGGAATGTTTCATAGAAGAGGTGAGAGTTAAACTAAACTTCACAGGCTCAATAAGATTTTAGGAGATGAACAGAGTGAGGGAAAGAGTGTAGAAGAGGACAGGTGCAAAGATGAGCATTAGTGCTTGAATTTGTGTGAGTTTTCAACCAAACCAGTTGACCTTAAGGATAGAACCATTCTTCTGTATGTCTCAAAAACAAAGTTATATATATATTTTTAAAACCTTAGCACGAAGCTTAAGAGGAAGGATTCTAGTTATAGTGCAAACAAATTTAAAGCTCTGAGAGACATGGGCTTTCCAAGTCACTTAGAATGATTTCTGTACACTTGGCAACAAATAAATGCTCATTATCATTGATGGGGGTTTGATAACAGTATCATTTTTATTCAGAAATGGAATTCACTTACTGCTCTATAACAGAAGGGCACTTTGTATTATATTAGTAACTAAAACCTCAGTTTCACAGATAAGGCTCATTGAGGTATATAATTTTATTAAGATCAAACACGAAGATAATGTCAGGACTTCCAACGAGGTCGGTGGTGTTCTTTTCACTGCCTTCAATTGTGTTTCTAGTTTATCTAGGAAAAGATATGCTATGAAATAATTCATAGTGCATTAAGCAATTAAAATGGAGTATGCACAAAAGCAAATGTTATTAAGATTATAGGTTTTAAATATTCAAGATACTTGAGTCATTCTTAATCAGTAAACTCTAGTTTCTCATTTGTAATTTTTTCATAAGTACATGAAGACTACTAAATCTGTATTCTTCTGATGGAGTTTCTTTGGTTTCATAAATAGTCCTTATATTGTCAATAACTTTAACATGAGATGAGGAAATATTTTAAGAAACAAGTGTAGTAATAATTGTATCATGGTCAGATTTAGAATTAAAAACTTAAGTAGCGATTATCTTATTGATACCGCAGTACTGTTTTAAGACTGATACTAACTTTTGTATTTTTAGTGCCTTCCCTTTTGGCCTGAAAATTTGTCAGGCAAACTTTGTGTGAGAGTGGTGGGCTGTGAAGGTTCCTCCAAACCGTTTTTTTATAACCGACAGGATAATGGCACTTTATTGAGCCTGGAAGAGCTGGTATGTTTTCATGTTTTATAATAAAACATCTTTGGTTTTGAAAATTTGCTTTAAAATATTTTATTGAAGATGCTATAAAATCTGGTAATTATGTGAAGGTGCTAATATATATCTCATGCTGTACATGTATTTGTAAGAGATCAGAGAGCCAGTGTGCTCTTCATTAAGTATATAAGAACACAACCTTTTTGTGTCTCCGTAACTGACTGCAATTCCAAATGTCACTGCAAGTTAAACCAATACTTCAAACAAGTTTTTTTCTGCAATAGAATGGAGGTATCTTGGTGGATGTAAACACTGCTGAACATTCAACTGTCATAACGTTTTCTGATTACCATGAAGGATCTGCGCCTGCTCTAATAATAAACCACACACCACAGGACGTCCTCACCTACAAACAGAGGTATGAAAAAAAAGCTACATGGAAAATCTCGTTTGCTTTTTACTGGCCCATAGTCTTTTCTGGGAAACACTTGGAGTGTAGATGAGTTTCACATTCCACACGTTTTCTGATTTTAGAAAGGTAATGTGGAACACATGCTGTTTATTATAATACCCCCAGCAGGTGTGGAGCAGTTCTCTGTTGTCCAATACATTAATATTCCTGCACCTGCTGGGATGAGCAATGGGTGTTGTATGGAAACCAATTTGACAATAAATTTCGTATTAAAAAAAATATTCCTGCAGCAAAACTTATAAATATTCATACCAAGTGGGATAAATAAAAATTAATAGTCTCGCATCAACTCAGAGCCATTTTTTTAGCCAAATGACTTTTGACACCAAACTGATAAGAGCCTTTACAATTTCAGAATTGCGTATGAGGAACTGTGAACCTCTTTGAGCATTATTATTCTTTTGTAATCTGGTAATGCTTTGTTGTTGTTGTTTGTTTGCTTTTGTTCCCAATAGAGGTGGTAGATTAAATGAGAGGACAATAAGTAGATAGTGGTGTTGAATGTAAGTGTGGGATGATACGAATTTTGTTGTTCTCGCTTGTCCTGTCATTTGGTTTGGATGATGCCGTTATATAATGATATAACAGTTTTACACCCTGACAATGTATGTTGTATATTTGCCAGGAATTATTGCTATAAATCTGCAAGGCATTATTTTATATATGTGTAAAATCTTGTATATACATAAGGTTATTTTTATATAGAGAATTATTTTATATAAAATAATGCCTTGCAGATTTACGTATTTTTTTTAATATATATTTTTTTAATGTTTATTCACTTTTTGAGAGAGACAGAGAGTCAGCAGGGCAGGGGCAGAGAGAGAGGGAGACACAAAATCTGAAGCAGGCTCCAGGCTCTGAGCTATCAGCACAGAGTCCAAAGCGGGGCTTGAAGTCATGAACCGTGAGATCATGACCTGAGCTGACGCTTAACCGACTGAGCCACCCAAGCGCCCTCAGATTTACCTTTTTTTTTTTTTAATTTTTTTTTTTAACATTTATTTATTTTTGGGACAGAGAGAGACAGAGCATGAACGGGGGAGGGGCAGAGAGAGAGGGAGACACAGAATCGGAAGCAGGCTCCAGGCTCTGAGCCATCAGCCCAGAGCCCGACACGGGGCTCGAACTCACGAACCGCGAGATCATGACCTGAGCTGAAGTCAGACGCTTAACCGACTGAGCCACCCAGGCGCCCCCAGATTTACCTATTTTTAAGTCTTCTGGCTTGAATCCACTGAGAGAATTTTTTTAGTTTTTAAAAAATTTTTAAAACACATGCATGTGCACACAAGCAGGAGAGGGGCAGAGAGAGAGAGAGAAAGAGAGAATCCCAAGCAGGCTCCATTGAGCTCTACAGCCCTGTGCGGGGCTGGATCAGGGCTGGATCTCCAGAACAGTGAGATCATGACCTGAACTAAAAGCAAGAACCTGACCCTTAACTACTGAGCTACTCACTCCCACCCCTCACTGAGAGATCTAAAAGCACAGAATGGGATTGAAACCTAATTGGGTTAATTTTTTTTTTTCTTTTTAGTTCTCTGGAAAGTTTTTTGTGATATGGACTAACACTTCTTAAACATTGTTAAAGTACAGATTCTGATTTAGTAGGTTTTAGGCGGGGCCCAGGATTTTGCACTTTCAGGAAGCTCCAGGTGATGTTGATGCTGCTTATCCACAGATCACTGTGAGTAACAGCAGTATGGACCTAATTTCTTTTTTCCTGAGACTCATGTTTGTTATCTAATTGTGTGTGATTAAAAAACTTAAATTTAAGCACTGAGTGGAGTTCTGCTGCTGCCAAAGAACTTACTATTTATAGCTTTTTTCTACAGGTGGACTCGGATGTACCAATCTGTCTACCTTAATGAATTCCATTGCTGTTATATTGCCTCGATCAATTTGGCGTGTACTGCAGCTTCAGAAAGGCAAATTCCATTCCCTCAAGCTTTAAAACCATTAGTTTGTTGGACATTGTAGGGTACTTATTGTTAGGCAGGGTTCTGTTGATTAACAAAGGCAATTTTATAAGATTTTTCTGCCAGTCCCCTCTCTGTAAACCACAGGTCTGGGTATCTCAAGGCTTGGATATTTTAATCTTCCCTCTGGCCGTTGTGTTTCAGTGGCTCACAGGAAGAAGTACACTTGCTGCCAGGACAAGCTCGACTTTTTGCCTGGGCGGATCCTACTGGTACCAGACAGCTTACATGGACGTATGCAGCAAATACTGGGGAGCACAGTCTGTTAAAGGTATCATGTGATGTGAATGGGTGCTGTATGAGCTGCCTGATGGCAAAGGAAGCAGGCAAGCTAGCTTCACACAGTCCTCTTTGTCCTTACTGAATGAAAGATCAGATGGAAGTATTTTCCTTTTTAAAAAAAATTTTTTTTAATGTTTATTTTTTTTTGAGAGAGAGACACAGAGCATGATTGGGGGAGGAGCAGAGTGAGAGGAAGACACAGAATCTGAGGCAGGGCCCAGGCTCTGAGCTGTCAGCACAGAGCCCATCGCGGGGCTCGAGCCCACAAACAGTGAGATCATGCCCTGAGTTGAAGTCGGACTGAGCCACCCAGGCACCCCTGGAAGCGTTATCAAAATAAGTTGCTTTTGGACTTTAGATTGCAAGTAGTTCATACCAATATTTTAGATTAGTCAAAATAATGTGTTTACAATGTAAAAAATAGTCCTGCTTCATCTTGACCGGTAAAGACCATTCAAGTACCCTCTAATATGCCTTTTTTTTTTTTTTAAAGAAAGCAACTTTATTTAAAAAAAATTTTTAAGACTTTATTTTTTAGAGCAGTTTTAATTTTACAACAGTGAGAGAGATATACATATACTTTCCATATATACCCTGACTCCACACATACAGAGCCTCACCCTTTATCAACATCACTCATCAAAATAGTTGATAATTTACCAAAAATGAATTTACACTGACATACCATAATCATCCAGAGTCCTTAGTTTATGTTACGGTTCTCTCTTGTACATTCTGTGGGTTTGAACAATTATGTGATGACATATATCCATTATTATACTATCATATAGAGTATTTTCTCTGCCCTAAAAATCTGCTGTGGCCTTCCAGTCCACTCAGCCTTCCCACCTGGCAACCACTCATCACTTTATTGTGTCCATAATTTTGCCTTTTCCAGAATGTAATATAGTTGGAATGATATAGTATTGGTTTCCTTCAGTTATTAATATACATTTAAGCTTTCTCAAATTGGTTTCTTTCAGTTAATAATATACATTTAAGCTTTAAAGAAAGCAACTTTAAAGCTAGGTGAAAACAATTTCATTTTGAACATATCCTTACCACTGTTGGCTATGAAGTTTTTAGGCATGTTTTCCCAATCAAGGCCATGTGTTTTTTTTGTAGTTTTATTTTTTTTTTTATTTTTATTTTTTTTATTTATTTTTTTTTTTCAACGTTTATTTATTTTTGGGATAGAGAGAGACAGAGCATGAACGGGGGAGGGGCAGAGAGAGAGGGAGACACAGAATCGGAAACAGGCTCCAGGCTCTGAGCCATCAGCCCAGAGCCTGACGCGGGGCTCGAACTCACGGACCGCGAGATCATGACCTGGCTGAAGTCGGACGCCTAACCGACTGCGCCACCCAGGCACCCCTGTAGTTTTATTTTTTAATGTATATTTATTTTGAGAGAGAGTGAGCCAGGGAGGGGCAGAGAGATAAGGAGAGAGAGAGAGAGTCCCAACCAGGCTCCACACTCAGCGTGGAGCCTAACGTGGGGCTCATTCTCACAACTGTGAGCTCATGACCTGAGCTGAAATCAAGAGTGGGACACCTAACTGACTGAGCCACCGAGTCGCCCCAAGGCCATAGGAATCTGACAGTATGCAAATTATCCCATATGAAAAATTTAATGTAATATTTATTGAAACAGTATTTAGGCAACTAATTTAATCATATGTGTTATTCTGAGAGTCTTAGACTTTGGGAAGCTCTTAAGAATTCATATACCAGCCTTTCTCTAATGTAGGAATTGGCTCCTGCATTAATGATATAGATCATCTAGTTTCTGTAGTAATATGTTCTATCATGAAAAGTTCATAACAGTGTCCTACTCTTTTGTCTGATAATGCCATTTGTTAAAAAAGGTTTCGTGACTTTTGCTTTAAAATGGTAATTGGCCAACAGTGACTGGATTATCCTCTCCCATAATTCCTCTGAAATACCCACAAAAGAGATAAAGACTTACCCACTTTTGAAAAATCAGAATGATAGTTCCTCTGTTACTAGATTCTTGCAATAATTTCCATCATGACAATTTGATGGAGCTCTACTGGTTGCTTGTGCTTTACTTTTTATAAGAGCGAAACAAAAGGTTTATGAGTGGTACCGAGGCTTCACTTCCCTGATACTCTTAGCTCCCTGGCTCAGAGGCATGGGAGCTTTGCCAGAGGTTTCTGTGCTTTGCTGGTATTACTTCCCCTCTCCTCACATTTAATGCTGCTCAGCAACTGCAATGCCCCAACGTAGTATATGGACACTAGAGAGAACATGGGAAGGACCTTCTGGAGGAGGATATTCAGGTTTGTATACTGAGGCACATTCAGAAAGCATCTGGGAATGGTGTATACGGGGATTGTAGTTTTTAATGTTTCTCTTCTGTTTGGTGTTAGAGAACCAGGCCGTAGGAAAAATAGCACATAATCTGCCAGATTCTGGAAATTGAGTTGGAAGCAAGGCACTTGCTCATTCCCGGGTCTGCTAGGTTCATTTGGGAAGGGAGATCTGCTCAGGCCCCAGTGGACGTGAAGAGGGAGTTCAAAGGAAATCTACACATTAGTGGTTAAACCTTAGGTCTGAACAGATCTTTCCTTATTAAGTATGAATGAACAGGAAACAACAACAACAACAACATGGGGTTTATGAAAAAAAATAGTTTGGGAGAAAAATGTAGCATTATTCTGTAGAATCAGAGGTCATTATACCCTGAAAAATGTTTTACTGTAAGAGGACCACAAGAAAATTTCCTCACATCCTCAGTTAAGTTATAAAGTGATGGCAGCTATGAAATAGAAGAATGAATGGTGAAATAAAAAGAGACAACAAAATGAAGTGAAAGCAGAGTAGGGAAGCAAAATATATTCTGTTCATTCTATAAATATATCATTTAATCTTAAATTTTAATTAGAGAAACATAGATTAAAGATTTTGTTTTTTTAAACTTGTCAATTTGTAGATCTAAAATCATTGATAAAAGAATTTTAAAATGAGAAAAAGAACATAAAGAAAATTTTACCTTTAGAGTAAGGGAGGGAAAGCTAAGGAAGTGTAAGTTACAAGCCTAAAGAGGCAGTAAAGATACAGCAGGCAGACAGAAGTAAAAAGAAAGTGAAGTTGTTGATATTAATATCTGAACAACTATAATTCAAAGCAGAAACCTTTAAATAGAATATGATGTTATGACAAAAAAGGCATGATAGCCATAAACTTTCATGCAAAGAATAACATCATATCAAAAATATAAAACTTAAAATGCTGGAAGTCGGCCAAAACACAATTACCAGAGGATATTTTAACACACCTCATTTAATTCTTAACAGACCAAATAGATGAAAACTAAATATGATTAGAGAGTATTTCCATAATAACTAAGATTGAACCGAGACACATACCAAATTTTGTACTTTACAGAGAGAATTCACCTTCTTAATAGGTATTTAAGGAACATTTGCAAAATTTGATTGCATATTAGAATATTAAAAACTGAGTAGGCTACTTTGACCTATGTTAAAAGCAATAAATTTTTAAAAAGCAGTATGTTGGTAAGGATGTGGAGAAAAAAGAACACTTATGCACTGTTGGTGGGAATATAAATTAGTGCCGCCACTGGGAAAACAGTATGGAGGTTCTTCAAAAAACTAAAAATGGAAGTACCACAGGATCCAATTTTTCCACTTCTGGGTATTTACACAAAGAAAATAAAACAATAATTTGAAAAGGTATATGCACCCCTGTTTATTGCGACAGTATTTATAGTAGTCAAGACATGCAGATAGCCTGTGTACATCAGTAAATGTCTTGTCCTTATCCTGTCATTTGGCTTGGATGATGCCATTATATAATGATATAACAGGTAGTTTTAAACGCTGAAAATATATGTTGTATATTTGCCAAGAATTATTGTTCTAAATCTGCCAGGCATTATTTTATATGTATATAAAATCTTGGACATACATAAGGTTATTTTTATATATAGAATTATTTTATATAAAATAATACCTGCATATTTACCCATTCTTAACTCTCCTGGCTTGAGTCCACTGAAAGATTTTTTTAAATGTTTAAAAATTTTTTTAAGTTTATTTATTTTGAGGGAGAGAGAACACGCTCACGTGCATATGAGCAGGGGAGTGCCAGAGAGAGAGAGAATCCCAAGCAGGCTCCATCCAGCTCTGCAGCCCTGTGTTGGGCTAGATCAGGGCTGGATCTCCAGAACAGTGAGATCATGACCTGAGCTGAAGCAGACACTTAACTACTGAGCCACTTAGATGCCCCCCACTGAGAGATTTAAAAGAACAGAATGTGATATACATACATATATGCCATTGTAGGAAACTCTTGTTCCTGCCAAGTGTCCTTTGAGCAGTCAAACCTAGGGTACAAAAAAAAATTAAGTGCTATTAATGTTTGTTATTGTTTGAAAAAGTCAGTGAGTTATGTTTTAAAATAGGTTTTAACTTTAATTTATGTCATTTTGATGGTTTTCAATTTATAGACATACTTGTCAAACTTTTCTAAATATGACTGTAGTTTAACTTTATGTAATGACAACTTGCTGCTTATGAGTTTAATATTAAATCTGTTTTTCCCCAGGATGAATGTGGACAGTTTCCATATGATGCAAATATCCAGATACACTGGGTATCATTCCTGGATGGGCGTCAGCGAGTGTTGCTTTTCACTGATGATGTTGCCTTGGTTTCCAAAGCACTGCAGGCAGAAGAAATGGAGCAGGCCGATCATGAAATAACCTTTTCTCTCCACAGTCTTGGGCTTTCACTGGTTAACAATGAAAACAAGCAGGAAGTTTCATATATTGGGATAACCAGGTAGGGAAGAAGGAAGATAAGGCATCAGAATTCTTTCAGAAGCATTGAGCTCATAGTATCAAGCTTAATGAGAATAAATATATTCTGTATTTGGATATACTGTATATTCTTTCAGCATAACTTTTGAACAGTTTTTTTCACTGCTAGTTGAAAATGCCCTAATATAGAAAGATGACTAAGATAATGTCTTTGCTCCTACTGTACTGGCATGGGTTAGGGAAGCCAACAACAATGGGTCAGATAAACTGGAAAAAACGTTCACAGAGAAGGCAGTCTTTGACATGGGTACATAATCTTTAATGGGCGGTTACGTAGACCTTTTTAATAGTGATGGAACCAGTTATTTTCTCTGACTCTGCTTGTATCTGTATAGGAAAAATATTCGAATTTATTTAGTTTTTTTTTTTTAATTGCACTGACTTTGGTAAAAGACTCCTTCTTTTCTTGGAGGCTGTTGGGTGGAATGGTTAACATGTTACCATGTATAACCCTCATAGCACTTATCAATAATCATGTGTTTAGTGAAGTAAAAATAAAAACTAAGTAAAAATTAAGAGGTCATGTATATAATGTACTTTACACAACACCTGACAGATAAAGGATTCTATAAATGGTATACATGCCAGTAATATAATATTACTATATTTGTATATGTTTGAGTAATGTATTCTCTTGGCTATACATTTCAGTATCGTATAGTATTTTTATCCTAATATAAAAATCATTTTTAAGTCATATAAATTCAGTTTTTCCACTCTGCTGTTCTTTGATTAACTTATTTTTACTTTAATATTATATATACTATTATATTGTATCAGATTGGCCTTTATCAGGACTTTTAAAAATTCACCTAAAAGAACTTGATTATCTTTGTTATGTTATGCTATACATTTAATACACTTTCAATAGAGATATGTACTGAGGAAAAGTAAATCAGTTATGTAATTTTAATCAATAGACTTTTATTTTTTTGAACAGTTTTAGGTGTACAGAAAAATTGACTATACAGAGTTCCTGTATACCCTGCATTTTCCCCCTATTATTAACATCTTGAAATAGTTTGGTACATTTTTTACTATTGATAAACTAATGTTAATACATTATTATTATTATTATTATTATTATTATTATTGTTATTGTTATTATTATTTAAAGTCCAGTGTTGGTATTGTTTAAGTTAGAGTTTGCTCTTTGTGTTATAATTCTATGGGTTTTGGCAAATGAGTAACACATATCTATCATTACAGTGTCATATAGAATAGTTTCACTACTGTAAACATCTCCTGTAACTGCCTCTTCATCCCTTTCTCTCTTTCTGCCTATTCATCCCCTGAACCTCTGGAAATCACTGGTCTTTTTACTGTCTCTGAAGTTTTTGCCTCTTCCAGAATGTCATTATCACTGGAATCATACGGTTATGTAGGCTTTTCAGATAGGCCTCTTTCACTTAGCGACTTTTTTTTTTTAGGTTTCTGCATGTCTTTTTGTGGCTCGATAACTCATTTTTTTAAATCACTGAATAATATCTCATGTTTGGGTGTACCACAGTTTATTCACCTGTTGAAAGACATCTTCGTTGCTTCCAACTTCTGGCATTTATGAATGAAGCTGCTATAAACATTCATAGGTAGTTTTTTGTGTAGACATAAGTTTTTAAGTCATTTGGGTTAAGTATCAAGAAGCGTGATTGCTGGATTATTTGGTAGGATTAGTTTAGTTTTGTAAGCAGTTGCCAAATTGTCTTGCAAACTGGCTGCGCCATTTTGCATTTCCACCAGGAATGAATGAATGAATGAGCATTCATTGTTCCACACCCATGCCAGTATTTGTTGTCAGTGTTCTGGATTTTGGCCATTCTTATAGGATGTAGTGATATGTCATTGTTATTTTAATTTGCAATTTGCTAATTACATATGCTGTTGAGCATTTTCAAATGCTTATTTGCCATCAGAATATCTTCTGTGGTGAAATTCAGGTCTTTTTCCCATTTTGTAATTTTTCATGGCCTTACCATTGAATTTTAAGAGTTCCTCGTATATTTTAGATGCCAGCCTTATCATATACATGTTTTGCAGATATTTTCTTCCAGTTTCTGCCTGTCTTTTCATTCTTTTAACACTGTCTTTCATAGGAAGGAGATCCAACATGAATTCTTTGGTTCATGAGTTGCGCTTTCGGTGTTGTATCTTAAAAGTCGTCACCAAGTGCAAAGTTACTTACATTTTCTCCTATGTTATTTTCTGGATTTTATAGTTTTGTGTTTGATGTTTAGGTTTGTATACATTTTCAGTTAGTTTTTGTGAAATGTGTAAGCTCTTTGACTAGAAAGCTCTTTTCTTTCTTTCTTTCTTTCTTTTCTTTTTTCTTTCTTTCTTCCTTCCTTCCTTTTCTTTTCTTTTCTTTTCTTTCTTTTCTTTTCTTTCTTTTGTCCTTTCTTTCTTTCTTTCTTTCTTTCTTTCTTTCTTTCTTTCTTTCTTTCTTTCTTTCTTTCTTTCTTTCTTCTTTCGTGGATATCCAGTTCTGTCACTGTTGAAAAGATTGTCCTTTTTCCATTGAATTGTTTTTGCTCCTTTTCAAAAATTAGCCGACTATCTGTGTTAGGGTTTATTTCTGGACCGTCTGTTTTCTTGATCTGTTTGTCAGTTCTTTCACCCATACCACACTGTCTTGAGGTCTGTAGTTTTGTGGTAATCTTGAGGTCATGTAGTCTCCATCCTCCAGCTTTTTTCTTCTTCTATATTGTATTGGCTGTTCTGAGTTTTTTGCCTTTCCATATAAACTTTAGAATTAGTTTCTCAGTTAGCTGGGACACGGGTTGGGATTGCATTTATAGATCAACATGGAAAGAACTGATGTCTTGACATTATTGAATCTTCATATCCATGTACAGAGATCCTTTTATTTATTCAGATCTTCAGCCTCTTTCATCAAACTTTTGTTGTCTTCCTCATACATGAGTCTACAGACTTCGCACAAATTTGTTAGATTCTGTTTATATCTAAGTGTTTTATTTCTTTGTTGCCATTGTAAAGGTTATTGTGTTTTTAATTTCAAATTTCAATTATTCATTGCAAGTATATAGGAAAACAATTGACTTTTGTATATTAACTCTGTATCTTGAAACATTAGTTGCAGGAATTTTTTGGTTGCATCTTTGGGATTTTCTACATAGACATGTCATCTGAGAACAAAGGCAGCTTTGTTTCACCATCTTTCCTGATCTGTGTACCTTTTATTTTCTTGACTTAATTGCATTATCTAGGATTTCCCAGTGTTGAATAGGAAGGAGTGGTGAGAGTAGACATCCTTGATTTGTTTCTGATCTTGGCAAGAAAGCATCTAGTTTCTCACCATTAAGTATGATGTTAACTGTAGGTTTTTTGTTGATGTTCCTTATCAAGTTGAGGAAGTTCTCTTCTCTTCCTAATTTGTTGAAGAGTTTTTATAATGAATCAGTGTTGGATTTATATAATTTATAGTAGATACTTTATTCATTACCTTCATCGACTGGTGTTCTCTAATACATGATACAGTGAGGACATTGTTAACGGTATCATTGATTAATACCAACAAGCTATGTAAGCTGAAATAATATGGGGCTTTATTTTATCATTATGCAATTCTGTAATCAGGGATCAACCAAGTATGGCCTATCAGCCAAATCTAGCTGGTGGCTTGTTTTTATTTTTATTTATTATTTATTTTTTTTTACAGACCTTGGTCAAGAATTTTTTACAATTTAGGTTAGAAAAATTTAAAAGGAAAATAGTATTTTGTAACACAATGAAAATGATACGAAATTCAAAGTTTGTTGCCCCTAAGTAAAGTTTATTAGAACGCAGCCTGGCTTATTCTTTTACATGTCTGTGGCTGCTTTTGTGCTACTGCTTAGCACACAACAAAGGACAAATAACTTGAGAGTGTATGAGTGCCACATGTATAGCTATACTGCAACTTTTACTTATTTTTTATTACTAATGCATGCTCACCATGTCAAAAGAAGTAGAGAAAAGTGGACTTTGAATGTCTCTCTTACAGGGCAGAGTTATTGAATGAAATGGCAGAACATTATTTTATTATGTAATGAGCCTATACCTGTGCTAAAAGAATATACGATATATTGACATTTCCAAGTAAGCACATATCACAATATGCCTACCTCACAGGAAAGGAATGGCCAGAAAGATTAGAAAATTTAAGACAAAATATCTCATCACAGCAAAATTTCATTTATGTATATGTGTATGTATGTGTGTATGTATGTATTTTTGATTTCAAGTTTTTATTTAAATTCTAGTTAGTTAACATACAGTATAATATTGGTTTCAGGAGTAGAATTTAGTGATTCATCACTTACGTATAGCCCTCATTACAAGTGCCCTCCTTAATACCCATCACCCATCTAGCCCATCCCTCTACCCACCTCCTTTCAGCAGCCCTCAGTTTGTTCTCTCTCCTTAAGAGTCTCTTAAGATTTGCTTCCCTCTCTTTTCTTTCCCCTTCCCCCACATTCATCTGTTTTGTTTATTAAACTCCACAGATGAGTCAAATCATTTGGTTTTTGTCTTTCTCTGACTGACTGATTTATCTCTTAGCATAATTTCTTCACAAAAATAAAAAACCAAAAATGAGGGTGCAACAAAGTTAGTTTCTGAATGACTCATTTGTTAGCCATGCAAGGAATGCCTTTTATTAGTGGTAAGTTAATTGAATTATCTGACTGTAACCCTGAAGAAATGTGTCCAGAGTAAATAAGCTTAGGACCATTAGTCATTTTGGGAGAACAGTTGCTTGAACAACTAAGGACTTTTACAACAACATCAATAGTCAACTAAAAATAAGACAAATGAGTTTGACTCGTTTTCTTTGGCTCTTGAGTCACTAGCTACTTCTAATACTGCTGTTACTGTACAGTCAAGTAGCCAGTGCTGAGTTTGAAGTGACTAAAGAATTAGCCTCTATGAATACTCACTTTGAGCCCTAATTAAGTGAAGCATTAAGTTGTCACCCCTGAGAAACAACTGTAAAAAAAAATTTTTTTGCAAGTACGTATGGTGACAGATAGTAACTAGATTTATTGTGATGATCATTTTACAATATACTCAAATATTAAATATAATTTTTTTTATGTTTTATTTCAATTAATATGTTTTATGGCAATTATACTTTAATGAAAAACAAGTAATAAAAAATTGAAAAATCTTTTTTCTCATTAATAAACTTGTGTTTTTAAAATGTATACTCAATTGTTTTTATATTTTGAATTTCATCAATTAGAAAAATTTGTGGGAGTTTTTTTTCTCTCTCTTGTTATCTAAGCACTTAATAACCTCAATTTTATCTCAGCCACAAAGCCTAAAATATTTACTATATGGCTCCTTATCAAAAAAGTTTGTGAGTCCTTTGATTGATTGATGTCAGTGTATGATAGAATAACTTTTTCCCCTACCCCTTTTCCTCATGTACTTTTCTACCACAGGTATATTTTGGTGTTTAAAAAAAATCTCTTGCATAAATATAATTTTCATTGGAGATTGATAGTTGCAATAATTTAAAGTTGAATAACAATTCTAGCAAATCTAATATGTACTCCTGATTTAATTTTCTTTGTGAATTGTTTTAGTTCTGGTGTTGTTTGGGAGATGAAACCAAAACAGAAATGGAAGCCTTTTAGTCAAAAGCAGATAATGTTGCTGGAACAGTCGTATAAAAAATACCAAGTATCCAGAGACCATGGATGGATTAAACTAGATAATAATTTTGAGGTATACCAAAAATTTTTTTGTTTTTTTTTTATATATGTATTTTGTTGGTGGATAGTAAGAAAGGAGAATTTACTGTCCAAGTAAAATGTGTACAGAAACTATTGATTAGTAAATAAACTCATTTATTAATAGGATTGGCATGACTAATATGAGTACATTTTAAATTAAAATACATTATTAAATCATATACTATAAAACATTTAAATATGTTTCTCTCCTGTATTTTTATAGTTTCTTCTGTTCACAAGATAGTTTCATGGAACTTGTTTTCAGTAAGATTATGCAGAAATTAATATTGCGTATTGGAACTTCTTGGTGCATCTTTAATGATACTAGTATAATTGGTAAATAAAGTCTGTGCAAAATTATATATTTCAGTAGTGAAAAACCTATGGAAAATCTATTCAGTTAGATTCATTAATGCAAAAGATTGTTGGACATGGGTGGACATCATGAATGCAGGTGTACTCTGTGCAGGCCAGTATTGCAGCTGAAGGCCACTTTTGCTCCAAGAAGATCCAAGAAGCTTGACTGCCATTTCTCATTTGCTGTGGTTCAGTCCCACAGTTTTGGTTATTCTTTGTCTTTGATATCTAATGGTTGGGTTTGCATTGGCTATCAGATATGCTCCCCACCCCTACTCTCATCCCCATAAATGTTGGCCATGCTCAAATGAAAACAAATTGGCAGACCTAAATAAGCTATTAACTATTCATTGTTTAACTTTGCTAAAACAAAATTTAAGAGTTGCCTTTATTCATTACTATTGAGGTTTTTATTTTGTATTTTTTAATTCTTTTTAATTAAAAAAATTTTTTTTTAATTTTTTAAATGTTATTTTTTGGGGGGGTACCTGGATGGCTCAGTCGGTTAAGCGGCCGACTTCGGCTCAGGTCATGATTTTGCGGTCTGTGAGTTCGAGCCCCGCGTCAGGCTCTGTGCTGACAGCTCAGAACCTGGAGCCTGTTTCAGATTGTGTCTCCCTCTCTCTGACCCTCCCCTGTTCATGCTCTCTGTCTCAAAAATAAATAAACATTAAAAAAAATTTTTTTAAAGATGTTATTTTTTTTATTTTTGAGACAGAGACAGAGCATGAGCAGGGGAGGGGCAGAGAGGGAGGCACAGAATCTGAAGCAGGCTCCAGGCTCTGAGCTGTCGGCACAGAGCCGGACGCAGGGCTTGAACCACAAACTGAGATCATGACCTGAACCGAAGTCAGACGCTTAACTGACTGAGCCACCCAGGCGCCCCTACTATTGAGGTTTTTAAACAATATAAAGCATGGTTTATTTCCTTCAACTGCAGTTTAATTCACTGAAAAATTTCCCAGTTGTTTTCTTGTTTTCCTCACAACTTTGATGGAAAAGTAATGATTCTGCTTCAATGATCCCAACTGTAGATGACCTTAAGGCAGATCTTTTGGTGAGACATACACATTAAAATGCTTTTCCCTTTCAGATTGTGAGTAAAGGGATATTTAAGATGGACTACACTGCTAATACCAACTCATCGTACCCATATGTGCTTTTTTCCCAGGTCAATTTTGATAAAGTTCCCATGGAAATGCGCTTCCCTGTTCAGTGCCCGATAAAGCGAGATTTTTTATCAGGGATTCAGATTGAATTTAAGCAGTCTCCTCACCAGAGAAGTTTAAGGGCCAGGTTGTATTGGCTTCAGGTAACATTGTTATTATCAATTCAATAAATACATCTAATCACTTTGGGAAACTTGGGGATAAAGTTTTTTCTGCAAGGCTCTAGCATACGTTGTAAATAGTATTTTGCTTTCTGTTTGCATCTTTATTCCCCTTCTCCCACATATTCTGTGGATTCTCTATACTTAGCATCCAAGTCCAAAGACATTGTGACTATTGAGACCATTTAATTTCATCAGTTAACCTGCAAGAGCGTTTTCTTGCACTGAAATTGTTATTTTTTAAATATTCCTCTGATTTTGTCATGGGACCCCCAAATTAGATTTTCTTTTGTCAGTCTACACAGGGCTGAGCTGGGCTTTATTGGAGAATGCTTTTGTCTTCTTGCTTGCTTGCTCCCTTCTTGCCCTTCTCACTCTCTTCCTTTTAACTCCTAAATATGATTTAGGACATTTTAATTTTTTTTCTTCTTTCTACCTATCTAATTTCGTATTTAGTCTCCAGTTACATTTTATTTAAATTATAAGCTATTGAAATCTCACATGATCCATAGGCACAAACATTTTGATTAATAGTGTGTATGCTGCACAGTGTTAATGTAGTTAGGAGGGTATTACATATTCCTTTATGTAAAAGGTTGCCCTTGCTGAGATATGTAAGAATTTTAGATAAAGTAAAACTTCTAATAGCACCACATACACAATGCAGACACTTAATTGTGATGAAATTAGCAGCATCTTCTATAATATTATCTCAAAAACTAAAAGTTTACATTATTTCAAATCTTGCTGAGTTTTCTTTCTTCTTCTTCTTCTTTTTTTTTTTAGGTTGATAGTCAGTTA